CCGGCTCACGTACCCGTGGAGGAGCCTCAAAAGAGAAACGCAAGCGCGTGTCCCGCCGCCGCATCCCCGGCAGGCCTCTGCCCGAGCGAAGGGGACGGCCATGTCTTCTTCCGTGAAAACGGTGCTTCTTGAGTGCTTTCAGAGCTGCAGCGGCTCTGAGAAAAGGTAGAGCCCCCCCTCCCCTTCCCGCCATATCTGAAGGTCCTGCAGAGTTAGAAGCCCGCAGCACTTTGGGCCGGCGACCTCTGCAAACTTCCTGCTGCTTAAAATAAATCGTCGAGCTTAAAGGCACTCAGCATCTCTTCGCGCTGTTGTCCCTTACGGAGAGGAGCTACTCCCATGTGCTCTGCCTTCCCGCCCTTGGCCCTTTTTTTTTTTTTTTTTTTTTTTTCTGACGGGCTCACTTTGAACTCCCTGATAATCTTTCATTGATTCTCCCTTTGCTGTTGATGCCGAGACTTCGCCACGGAGCTGTCTTCTGTCGTGGATGCTCATGATGTTCCACTCCCATTTTATTTGGCTCCATTCACCTACAGTACATTTCGCAGCGCATGGTTCAGTGTGCCCTTGTGTTGAAAAATTGCATTGCTTCCCTTAGCTGTGAGTTACTTTTTTTAGAGGCATCTTCCTTACAAAAAGAGGGTTCAGCAGCAGCAAGTTATAAAATGTATGTGTTCTTAAGTTCCTCCTGGAAACTGTACAACTCTAGGCACACCTTCCATGTTCTTTCTGTTATGCCATACACACATTACATCTTACACAGACGTGTTCTTACTGATAAGAATTTTGTCTGATGAAGGCAGACATTAGACAGTTGATAACTAGAAGAATTTTAAGAAACAAAATAGAGCAAAACCCAAAAACATTTATTAAACTTGGTTCACTCTTCATCTTCTCACAGTACACAGAGGCAGACTGACACATGCCTATTGCATGCTTCCTTATCTATTGGAAATAAAAAATGTTTTAAAAGAGTGACAGGCACAGCTGAAGGTACAGTTCTTACTCTTTTAGTGTAGGCCTTCATATTAGTCTTTCTCAGATGTTATTCATATTCATTCCAAGAGCAGCTTTTGTAATTAAAAACCAGAGGCCAGGGAACAGCTTTAATGAAAGAACCATGAGAAAAAGAGAGCGATTACTATTTTTGGATGGTTTTTAAGGATCTGGCAGCGTATATATAGGTCGTCTTGTACAATTTTACTAGTACATTATGTTAATAAGGCTCTGACTGTTGTACCAGAGTTTAACAGTGTTCTTTCTGGACTTAGTAACAAAATAGTAACAGTGTATGTAGTAGTTGGCTGTTTCCTTCAAAATATGCTCCTTTTGAATACTTTTTAAATGTTCCCTAAGGGTGGTTGTTTGTTGGTTTGGAACCCACTTGTTAAGTCTTGGTAATTGTGACATTTAAAATTAAAAAACAGAACAAAAAAGATTGGGGAGATGGAAGTACTGACTAGTTTTAAGTACTTACCATCTTGGTTTCCCAACAGTCTTGAAGCACAGAGGCAATAAGGTGAACTTGGTTGTACAGGACACATTGCACCAGAACTGCTGTGTGAACATCTTGAGCTGTTTACCAGCTGTGACAGAAATATTCCCCTCGGGCACTATTCCCAGCAGCAGAGGCAGTGAGTGGGACAGTGCCCCTAGCTCCCTGGTTTGAGTTAGTTTAGAAGGCACTAACATTCGCATCTTGCTGCTTTTCAGGGAAGCAATGTCTTTGGTCTCAATACAATTAATGCTCTGTTGTTTGTTTTTTTTCGTTCGTAGCTAATATATGATAGTTTTGCCCAGTATCTGGTAACAGAGAAGGGTTATGATGAAGACCTACTGACTCTAGCTCCAGACAGCTTAGATTTCTGGTGAGTATGTTGAAAATAACATAAATTTTCTTCATAAATTCTTTTATGCTGTAACTTCTACAAAACTTAGAAAACAGCTTCTGTTATTAGGTGGTTGTAATGATTGTCAATCCCAATAGATAAATCCAAAATTACAGTTTTAAATACTTGTTTGAAGAAGTATTTGTCATGAGATACTTCTAATATGGTATTTTGAAGAGACAACTGAGCATCCTAGCTAGCTTCTAGCTGTCTAGACACAAACCTTTTACTCTGACTTACTCTCTTATTTTATATATCTTCTTTGTCTTCTACCTTCAATTCAAGTAAGGTAAATTCTGATGGCTACAGTAGCCATCAGAATTTAGTCATTTTTATCTCTATAGATGTGGTTTTGTTTGTGTAAGGCGGAACAATCTCAACAGCCTTCTGAGGAACCAAGGAAAGGCGACATGCCAGGAGGTAGCCCTTGGTTGGCATGTTGGTCACAAAGCTGTGGTGCAGAAGGTTAAAATGCAAGTTCCTGCTCTAAGCTCAGTGGTCTCTCAGCAGGAGCTTGAACATAAATTTCTGATCTTCCAACTTTAATAGATTGTTACCTAGGCCACAGAGGTGAGGGCTTGAAGGCCAGGTGATCACTGAAGTTTGTAGGAGAAATGGATATTTTTTTTTTAAATAATGCATGCATTACTGTGTAATAGTTTTGATCAGTTATTTTTACAATTCAGTATTTGACGGGACAGTTTCCAACAAGATTGATCTCAACTTTCATGACACTAGCAATGTATCTGTATTTCTCATAGTCTGAGGCTTCTGATGCATGAAATCCTTTGAGATCTAGATATATCGGCCTTGGTCCCTTATTGGAGCTGGAGGTTCATTAATACGGACTTGCAGGCCTGCGGTGCTGATATTGGTGCTACTCACCCAGGTGTCATTCATGAAAGGCTGGGGTTTGCTTACTGCCTTCATGGTATATCTTCTTTCCTTTGGGTACCTTATAATGGAGGATGAAGGTGCTATTATTTTTTCAGTCTTGTTTATTCATTATTATTCTAGCCACTGAACTCTGAATTAATTTTTCAAACAGCCAAAGCGAATGTAGATTCAATGATCTGGAAGGTACAGATTTACCAGGAGAGTTGGGAACTCCTGTCAAGTCGTACGCTCTCAGCTCTTCACCTTTTTAGTGCGGACTAGTGTGGCAGTGCTTCTGCTTCACATCCTTGGATACTCTGTTTCCTCATTTAGAATGATATTCTACCCCTCTCTCCCTTAATAATTGTTGTTATCAGTCTAGGAATAATAAGTAGGGGAGTTACCACCAAGAAAAAATACATTTCTTTAATAGAATTGGGGAAAATATCACATTTCTTTGTTTATATATTTGGACCTTAATTCTTCAACTTTATCTGTAGGAACAGTCACTGAACTTACTGAATAATGGAAATGGATTTATTTAGTAGGAATTTGCTACATAAGTGAAATCCAGTCCTTACTGTAGTAATATACTTGCGTATATAGGGCATTGTTCAAACATGGAAGTATTTGAAGGCTTATGACTTTGTTGGTTTTGTGTAGCATCATAGTATAGTTTCTGTTACTGTGTTTAACTGACATAAAGCTCTGAAAGCATTAATTGTTTCTTCCTTAAAATTATTCTTAGTTGCAAAGGATTGTTGTTGGACATTGAAGAAGGAAACTTTCTGAAACTTGCAGAAGATGGAACAGTTTTGAGGTAATACTGACAATAAGTTTATATTGTTAAACAAAGACCAAAATTTTATCCTCTGAAAGCCATCTCTCAATTTTACTGAATATTTAAAATACTAATTTCAGCATACATTAGTTTATTAGATGTAAAAGTTTAACTGCTTTTTCATAATGTGGTGCTCAGTTTCTCTCAATGTTACATATGTGGTCTTTTCGCAATATTTCCATGTTGGCTGCTAGTACAGAATATCTCGCTTTTAATTCACATCTAAGACTCCAAGGGCATACTGATCTTTAAAGTGAGTTTACCTTCTCAGTGGTTATCAATGTACTCTTTGTCCAGTTCTGCTAGGATCCAGAGTAAGATTTTTCTTTGGATTGTGAGTAAACTGAGTTGGAGTCAGTGCTAATGACTAACACTAACAACGGGAGTGCTTTTATCTTTGTACCATAAGCATTCAAAATTCTGCAGGCCTACAACATCTAATTTAAGTAGCCTGAGGCAAGTTAAACACAGAAACGGACACATTTACTTTCAAAATCCTGGTTTTTTTCCTCTTAAGAGCTGTATTTTGCCTTCGGTCATTATTTCAGTACATCATTAGTTCCTCTGTCCCTCCTTTTCATTTTTTTTTCTTAAATAAAAGACTGCTATTTTGAATCTGATAAGTAAATATATCTGAAGTATATCAATCACTATCCCATTTCCCCCCCTTTTTTTTTTAAAATGAAAAACTGTGCAAGATAGACCTTTTTTTGAATATCATGTGGGAGAAGGAGCTTGAAGGTGCTAGGGAAAATCAGATTCATTGAAAGAAGGGAAGAAATACCTGTGAGTCTCTGCTGTGTATCCTGAAATTCATTTAGTGCCTTGATTTTGGACTACTAAATGCAGAATTCAAGACTAGTGGGAATACCACATTAAAGGGAGGAGTAGCACAGGATTACTTCTCCTAGCATTGCTTGCATTTGCTTCAAAACTGGAGTGTGCATTCTTTTGGGGCCCAATCAGATGGTCAAGCTAGTTGATTTTTAATTCCCAAAAAGGCTTGTGTGTACTTCTGTGTTACACAGCTGCTTGCAAGGCTCAAACTAGCACTTTTCCATAGTTCTGCCCTGCATTCAGTGAATGTTACCAGGCTTCAGAATGATGTATAGGCTTTCTGCACTGTGTTTTATTGTGCAGTGTATATTGATAGTTTACGTATAGCGAGTGTCCTCACACAATTGAGAACATTCGAGCAATACAGAATGATTGTGTTAGCAGCTGAGGTACAGTAGTCATGCCCCCAGCCAACCAAACTTCTGTGTAGTAAGGCTTTTATCAAGGCCTGTAATGTATATGATAAAAGCTTAGGTCCTGGGAAACTTCTAAGTTATAAAGAGAGTTGCTTTTGATCAGCTTGCATGCACCTCGGTATTCAGTTGCAATGCATTACTTTGCATAAGGAGTAGTTTGGCCATTTTCAACCTTTTTTTTTTTCTGAATAACTTAATGCATCAAACAGGGCAAGCCATGGTACAAAGAGCATGACATCCGAAGAGCTTCTGGAGACATTTGGAAGGAGGGAGTGGAAACATTTTAATACGATCAGTGGAATGGTTTCCCGCTCAGGTAGCTATACTCTTTGAAATTATAGCTCTTTGAAATTGCTCTGACCCCTTCAGTGCCTCATACTGTTAGTTCGTACCACAAATATTTAAAAATACTTGAGCTGAGAATTACTGGAATAGGTAAATGTTTTTGAGCTTTTTTTGTATTTTCAACTTCTAATACTAGAGTTCAACTTAAATTTATATCACCAATGATGAGACAAATGAGCTGACATTATAAATGTGTTTTGGTTATAGGAGATGGGCACATTGTTCCTTGATGAAGTAGACTGAGATTACCAACCTATCATTTAGGACATATTTGGCAAATCTTAAATTTTTCTTAATTGTTGACTCATTACCATCAGTGCTGTTACTGGAGGCCTAGGTTCAGGTGCAAAGAACAGAGCAGGTCTGGAAACAAAGCTCCTTCTCCTGCAATTGAATGTTCTTGGTTTTAAGATGGGAGTCACTTTGAAGACACTATGGGTGGGTTTGTGTTCTGGCTCTGTGCTTCCTCTCCATTTTACTTGAATCTTGGCAATTGTGAGTAATACACATAAAGTGCTCAGTTAAGTTGCATTATCCTATGTAATGGAGATATTTTCCTTGAGATTTTGCTGACATAAACTTGTTTGTGATGCTTATTCTAAATTGCAGGTAATCTTTTGCAATAGGGTAGAAGAGCAAGGTTTCTCTTGGTCATTGACAAATGTGCCTTTCTTATTCATTGAAAAGTGCATTTGATCTCTCTGATTAATCCCTGTTTTGCTGACCTGTTCTTTAATATACCTAAGAAGCAGCACAGACAAGGTCATGAATACCAGAAATATCATTGTTCAAATATCACCATTTAAATCATTTCAGTCCTATGAAAGAGTTGTTGAACATGACCTTAGTCTGGGGGGACATTTGTACCCACCTTATTTAGTTCTGCTTTGGGGGCTCACATAATAATGTGGGCGTGCTTCCCCTTGGGCTAAGAAGCTGTCTGCAGCATGTCTGTTCAAAGAACAAGGCTATATGCAAGACCTGTCCAAATGTTTCTGACTCAGCTTCTCAAATCCTTTGTGTTTCAACTGCTAGGGAAATAGATAATTTGGAAGAGTTGAGTGATGCTGTCCTGACTCTCAAAACTCATGGTTCTCCCCCATCTCTTCCACCTTAACTTTTAAAACCTTAAAATGTATTTTTAAAATTTCACCACCTTGATATAGATGAACAACTTTCAGGTGCCAGTTATGAGAATCAGAAGTGGGAATAAAGGCTAATGAAGATTGGAAAGCAGATAATGCTTATTACCAGTAAAATCCAAATAGGAGCTTCTATTATCATTTAAATGAGATTTTTTTTTATTTGTGATTAAAGCAAACAATACAGATTAAAAATGCAGACTTTTTTTTTTCCAGCTCAGTACTATTTGTATGATAATTATTTTGACCTGCCAGGAGCTCTCCTGTGTGCAAGGGTTGTGGACAGCTTAGATCAGGTAAGAACTGGATTGTTTGAAAGTAAGTATTGCATTATCTTTCTCTTCCCCCACCACTGTTCTTGCATGCATTATTAAATGAATACAAATAGTATATTGAACAACATCAAGGTCTTCAGCTTTTTTCTTGTTTGGAATTTTTCGTGTTGAACTTAGTTATCTCCAAAGATAATTGTGAGCTACATGGCATGTACAAAATAAATGTACTTCCACCAGAGGGCACAAATAACTAGGATACAAATAGAAATGCACTGTTTTCAAGTTTACTCTGTGATATGCAGAATATAGTTCTTAAAATCTCTTTTAATTGATGATATTTGAATTCAATCTAATGTAAGTCTTCTGAATAACACTGTTTGCTAATTTGCAGGTTGTTAATGAGTTAATTCTATCCTTTTTTAAACTTTTTTTTTGTCTTAAATATATTGATCTATGTACACAGATGTAAATACACCTCTAGAATAGTATCCCTTTTTTTATTCTCTGCTAAAACAATAGGTTAAATTCTCAAGGCAGAAAATACAAGTGCTTGAACTTTTTTCAGTGCTTTATAGATACATAGAATGTCCCAAATCCTACTTTTGAAGTTTGATGCTAATTGATTCATTGTGTTAAAGAAGGCTTGAATCTCTAGCTTGTGTGCAGCTGAGGGTAGAAGAGGGTTCTTCTCATACACTAAGTAGGTTGGTGTCAAAAGAGTATTGATGTAATCCTCTGGCTAAAGGTACCAAAACGGTGCAGCACTGAAAATTGCCAATACTAAACTTTGTCTACAGAGTGAAATTCAGAGCTGTGAGATGGGTATCTGGGATCCCTTTGGGTATCAGCTGACTTGATGCTTTAGCCTCCCCTCCAAAGTAGCATGCCAAGTAGATTGCTGCCTAAGTCCAAGGGCTGCCTGAAGAGCTAGCTAAAGCTAGTTTATCAGGTAGCACTGAGGACAGATGTGCCATTAACCTCTTAATTTTGTGCCTGATTAATCTCCTTCTAAACTGTTTGTGGTTTAGAACACCGTCTCAGATGTAACACCTGTATTTGTATTACTTTATTTATATTTAATTTAGACTTGGCACAAATCAACGACTTATTGGGAGAGAAATCATGTCATAGCATGTGTGTTATAAACTTTCATGTTCAGTTACTAGTTCACAAGCTGGAGCACTGACCCTGGGTCATTGTCATCTTCAGCCAGAGAGAATTAAGCCCATGCTGTTTATCCACAGAGCTACCAAAGTGGGTCATGTACCCTCTTTATCAACTAGCAGTTCTTAAATATTTTACTTGGTGTTGGCCCAGTTTCAACAGGAGGGTTACAGTAATTCCCTGGAAGGTTAACATCAGCTGGATGAGAAAGATAGAAGGCAGGAAGGAGACAGTAGACATCTCTAGCACCCATGCCTGCTAAATGTTGCATCCTAAGGGTTAGAAACCATCACATTCTCTTCTACATTTCTATAAGGAAGTGGAGGCTTCTGTTTCCTGTTCTGGGAGCCTGTTTAGTAAGGGCTGCTTTCTTACTGTTTCCAGACAACATTATAGGATAAGGAAAGCTTTCTATTGGAAACATATGGGTGAACTGCTAGGTTTGGTTTCATAATGGATTTAAGCATGAGTTAGATGCTGGGTGGCTCTACACTGGTAAAAATGAGTCTACTTTTGCTGTATCCAGAGCCAGAACTCTCATATATTTTCAAAGCAGAGGAGCTTCTTGGTGTTTTGGATCTTCGCATTGAAGAGCTACACAAAATACTGCTTTGTTTGATAGTTCATCTAATGAAATCACATTTGATAATCACACCAAAATCATGGTGGACTGCATGGGCATACAGAGTTTTCTGTCTGCTTTCTGGGAATCAGTCTGGTTTCTTATGCATCTCATGCAACGGCTGTAGATTTGCAAGAAATTAGTTTGCAGATATTTCAGTCTCTCTGAGGTCAAATGCTTTGAAGGAAGTGTACCTACTTTTAAAGTAGTATGCATCTGTCCTCAAAACAGAGCTCTGAGTAGCTGTTAGTACATTGCACTGATTTATTTTTAAAAGAAAAAAAAAAAACAAAAAAACCAAACCCCTGAACTAAGGAGCAAGTCAGCCATGTGTATGATAAGGGGAGCGGACAGTTGAATCCATGCCTTAAGGTTAGTGCTAGTGTCATTGCCACTAGACAGGTACTCCCCAGCATCCCTGAAACATGGCTTTGAATAATGACCTTGGTTAACAGCTAACTGAAGTTTGACATATATGAAACCTTTTCGCTTTTTAGGTATATCTGTGGTAGTTTGCTATAGGAATGGATTAAAAATAAATGTGAGTCACAGCACTGTATCTTTCCTGCTCTTAACCTGCAGAACTGGTGGATGATAAGCAGACTACCATAGTGCTTGTCAGTCGTGCACAAAAGGACCTGTTTGTGTGACTTGCTGGTTGTGAAATTAAGGGCGGACTGTTCCTCTGGAAGCCTCCATAGCAGATTAGTCATGAAATAGCAGTTTACTTCAGTGCATATAAACTACATGTTTTTGACTAGCAATGTTAAGGTGGGGTGGGGTTTTTTTTCGGTTTCTGAATGTTTCCCTCTAGAAAATGCTTTATGCTTACAAATTGGGTCATTATTCAGGTATCAGTACAGTGGTCAGGATACAGAGAGCAGCAACGTTGTAAAACCTGTTATCAATTGCCTTGAAATTTATCCTAATATAGGTGTGGAAAGCTTGTAAAAAAAACACTACGAAGATACTTTTCATGGTGTACAAACTCAGGGGCTATACCACCTGCTTTACTGCTGCTGGGTTACCTTATAACTCTGAGCACGTCTTGCAGGCTCTGTAGCTAATCCTCTGCTCTGTAATATTGACTGGCTATGTAATTGCATCTATTTAATTCAGCACTCATGAAATTTGTGACATTTGAGAGTGCTGTGAGTCTCAGCTGATTGAGAAGCTTTTCTTCCTTGGTGAGATGCTGGAAGGGTGGCTGAGGTCAGCTGGAGCTCTTCTGTGTCTGGGCAGCTTTCTAGGAACATCAAGAGGCTGTTCACAAGCACAGATCGTATTTGCATGTCCTTCTGCCAGAGCTGGGGTTTGGCAGTCCTCAGAGTACAATGCAATGCAGTGCTGCTCAGCCTGTCTTCTGTATGAATGTTTCATATGAAGTTTGGGGTGGAGTTGTTGGCACAAGAGCATTATCTAAATTATAGTGAAGGGTTCTTCCACCTTTGAGGGTGGAAGGTCATCTAAGTGCCAGGATGTAGATAATGTCAACCTGCTAATTAAGTATAGTATCTGCAGCTCTAGGCACTTTTTTTCCCAAATGTCAATGGAATGGCTCATTTAGTAAGTTGTTATTCTGTCTAATGCTCCCCCTTGCTATAACGTTTTAGAGTTCCTCACAAATACTTTCTCCTTTCCCCTTCCTCCTCCCACCCCCACCATAAGCTTCTGAAGTAGGGAGATAACTTGTCTGCAATTACCCAAAGTTAAGCTGGGTACTACTGAGTCCTAATGTCCTGAACCCTACTGTCTAAGACTGTTTTATTCCAGATACTTTTGTTTATTAATGGCTTTTCTGTCACTGTTTCAATATGAAAGCTCAAAAATGCTGATACTTGACATAATGACTAGGTTCCTTTTGACTCTTACAGCATGATGGTCAGAAAAAATATGACTTCTGGAAGGACATGGTGGCTGCTATCCAGCATAATTATAAAATAACAGCTTTTAAAGGTAAGTGGGTTCACTGGAAACTGACGTGTAGTAGCTGAAAATATTACATGTGCTTGCCAGAGCAAATACATTTGCAAGTATACTGTAGGCTACTCAACACAGCTTTTACTTTTCAAGCCTACAGATAGTTTTATAGTAGACACATGTTTATCCTGGAATAGAACATATTTGTCATTACTATTTCTATTTCATTTACCTAAAACTTTTGCTGTCTTTAATAACACTTGTGATGTGCTGCTTCACTGAATTTAGAGGAAAAATGGTTTCTTACCATGATTGGTATGGTAATATGGACATTCTGTATCTGTATTTTGGTGGTGTTCCTTATGTTCTTGTAATCCTAACTAAAATCAGAAATGCATTGTGGAAAAAAAAAAAAAAAGTGCAAACTAATACTTGATGATTTTCTTTAGCGCTCTAGTTTTGATTGGAATTCCTCATGTAGTATTGACACAGTAGGGAGGAGATTGTTATTTTATTATAAAGTTAATAAAAATTGCAGAGGATTCTTTTTTAACAATAGCCTTTCTCCACACAAAGCCAACTTTATAATACTGTAATATAAATTAGAATTGGAAAGCATCTTAGATGCCCTTCAGCTAGAAATTAATTTAATTCTTTCACAGATTTAACTTCTGAGTTTCTATTAGGCATATAAAATAAGTTGATAATAAACGCTAACAGTCTTGTGTGTGCACACAGTTAATTGAAATTATTTTAAACTATTTTTTGGTAGAAAGATTATATGCAGCTCAGTTCAGAATTCTGTATCATTTTGCTGACAGTATTTTCCAATAGAATTACCTCTGTTTAAGGCAGTGTTCATTTGGCATGGATGTAGTTTGGTCTTTCTTAAAACTTACCTTTAGCTCTACTACTTTCTATATTCCTTTCAAATGTAATTGACAGAATTGCCTGAGAGGTTCCAAACAGAAATAGAAGTTGATGTCAGGATGCATATTGTAAAAGAGAAGATGACACTCCTGAAATGTTTTGGTTGTTTGTCTTGTGTTTCCACTGGAGCTTGGAGTGTGACTGGTAGTTAAGAATTCCCCTAGGCACTCATGCATAAGTTGAGTAAATTTATCCATTTTTTTCTGCTGACATTAAACGAACCCTAATCAACTACAACTATTTTAACAAAAGTCTTTTTTCAGATTGTGAAAGCTCTTTGTTTTAAAAGGTGTGGATCATGCAGTATTTGGCAAAAAGAATAGTTTTTTAAAGTGTTCTTTGCAAATTAATTAGATCAAACAAAAATTAAAGTCTGATCCTTGAACTCATATAAATAATTGCTTGGTTTTATTTATATATGAGTGTCTGCTGGTGCGTACGTGTGTAAGTTCATGCATATACCTACCTATCAGGTATATATATGTAAGCATGGAATCCGCAAACAGATGTGTGATACAGTTAATCCTTTCTAACTCCTATCAGAATTGGTACCTAATTTAATACACCTCATTCTCTGTTATAAAAGTCATGAGGCACATGCACAACAGCATTGAAAATATAACAAAACATAGTAACTGGTAGGCATGAGTTATATTGGATAAAGCTCTGTAAAATCAGAAGTGAAACAGTGTAGATTGTATACACTACTTAAATATTTTAATACACAGAGGTGCTACGCTCTGTCATGCGTCACTTTGAAAGGCTTCATAGCGGTGTTATTTACCTTTTAATAATATGGTCCAGTAGATGAAGCACTGAACAGGGAGTCAGAAGAGCAGAAGTAGTATCTTCCTGTATCACTTAACTGTGATATTCCCATGGCTTATCTCTTTTTTTCTTCAGGTTCCTCTGTGAAATTAGAATAATGGTACTAATCTTCTGTCACAAGTTTGTGCCAAAGAGGTTTTGGTTGTTTTGGTTTTTTTTTTACCTCGGTTGCAAGCTTAATAGACCTTCCTGAGGAAACTCCTAAACCTGACTCCAGCCCAACATCTACATACCAGGAAGCCCCACCATCTTTCTTAGCCCAGAGCCTGGCCTGAAAACCACAGCCTCTTGACTTAACTCCATGCCCTCGATGCCTTGTAGAGGGTTTAACCCTTCAGAGAAAAGCAGTGGTCATTAACAGCTAGTCAAGGTAAAATTTCAAAAGCACACTGAAGTGGTCAGTAGAGGAGACACAAAGTTCCCAAGTTGAAATGCTGTCTTAGTAGTGCCATTGTCAGTGATGGAGCAGAACGACTGACTGTTTTAATTTTTGAAATCCATTAAGTGTTTGTAGTTCACTTTGGTTTGTCAGTATGCCCTTGTTTCTCTATGTCCCTTCTCTTTTTCACATGATTTCTTTGATCATAATCAGGTGTCTGGTGGATTTTGCCTTTCATTGTCTTAGCTATGGTAATTGCCTTAGATAATTGCCCTACGATATTGGTTTTGGATGGTTCTTTCAGGTAGGCATGATTGTTCTGACTCAGCTTAATGAAGAATATTAACCCACTTGTCTACTTGTAAAGAAGTGAAAAACTGACTCTTGCAGATGAAAAGAGGGTTCCAGAATGATGGTCTTGTATTATTCAAAAAAAAAAAAAAAAAAAAAAAAAAAAGAGAGAATCTATTAAACAATACAGTCAGAAAAGCATGATGTCAGATAGCAATAAACACAAATAGTTGTATTTGCAAAATGGTAATTTTTACCTGCCAGAATGCCCTCTGCAATTGTTACCCGAGTTGAGCATTAAATTACTTGAGAGTCCTTTCTGCAAATTTTTAACTTATTACTGGACTATTTTGCAACTTTAAGGTGATAAATATTACTTTGTATGTGTTTCATTTAGTCTGTGTTCTATAGGAGTTAGTAAAGAGCATTTTTAAAGGAAACGTCACGTGGCAACGTATTTTACCCCATATGAATATGTGGACAGAGGTCCACAAGACATTATGGAAACAACATTTTGTCTTCAGAGGAGTAATGAGGGCTTGAAGTACTGTATAATTATTTCCATGTGAGAAATTTCAGATCTAGTGATTTTTTTGACAGAAAAATCAGTAGTTTTTGCAGGACGAAGTTGCCTCATATAACATCTTAAAGCAGAATTTTGTAAAATTTCTCTTAAGGGCTACTTTCTCTCTCTTCCATGGTTGTATTTCCCTGTAATTTCCCTGATACTTCTGAAAACCAGAGCACTGGTGGTTATATAGTGCAAATGATATATTTGTAATATTTTCAATCAGTTCATAAAATTATATTTCATTCTGGAAGTAAAAAGGTCATGGCTAATGTGGCAGCAGAGACTTCATAAATTCAAGGAACAAAGATTTTAAAGGACAAAACCTGATTTAATGTGAGTGATTGATAAGGATTAGTGAACTGTGCTTTTAAGAATATTTTCTGGGCCCAGTGCCTTGTGCAGAGACTAGTTAATTGGAATCACAGGACAGTAATGTACTGCTGAGCACCAAGCATCTCCAACAATTTTAAACATGTGCTTTGGCATACATTTCATATGTAAAGCAATTAACCAGAAACTTTACAACTATTGAGCAGTATTTTCCAGTTCCTGTACCCAGTCCCTCTATTTGTTTCTGAAACAAAAGTGCCAGATTGTTTGAATGTATGGGGAGCAGCACATGCTGTGTTTAAATACTGGAAAGTGCTGTCGAACTAATGCAAGTGACTGCATAGGAAAACATTTTCAGTGCAAAAAAGAGATAATTATTAAGAGATATCTGTAATTAATGTTTGGCCTAAAACAGGAAGATAAGAAGGTGGGAATAGACAATTCAGACTCAAGTGTCATGAGTTTTGTTTTGGCTTGAAAGAAAAGTATCACAGGATTGCTACTTACAAATTGGTGGTACTGCACTGTGTTATTTCTGTACAAACATTTGTGTGCAGTGTTTATAACAGTAGTACCAATTTGCTTGCCTAGGTCTACTTGGCTGCTAAAATAAGCAGATCTCATGTTACACTCTCTACTTAAGCATTTATTATTTTACCGAAGTATAGCCTAAAACCACAGGCTTCCTTATCCAGCAGCACTTAATAAGGAGAGAAAGAACAATTCTGCAAAGTTCTTGGTAGCTCTTTACAGTTTTTCAAAACATTATATAGTTTTGCTAATGATGAATCAACCTAAAGGTGTCCTCGCTTTTTTTTTATTAATCCCAGTGTATTATCAGGTACTTAAGAAATTGCTGTTTATGTATACAACATAACAAGCAGATTCTGCTTTCATGAACAAATGGTAATATCACAAAACTTTTAAACATAGGCCTATGTACTTTTAGTGCAAGTTGATTAAAAACTTCTGTTTTAAAAAAAGAAGCTAAAAATAATCATTTAAGAGTTGATAAGATCTTGATGTGTAAGATAGTTTTAGAGCACATGAATGGTAACTGTAATTGGAAAAAAAATGTGTGAACTATTATAGTTTCATAATTTATAAGCACCATTAACTTTTCATAGTGCCATAACAGATTAATGTCTAATGTTTGTAAGACATGAGTGTATGTAGGTATGGTAAATATGATTATATCTACTGATTAATTACTGTCATCTGATAAATTCACTATATACGTAAAACATATTCCCTACTTTGTTTTGTTTTGTGGGAATGAACTGTTCAGAGAAAATCAGTGCCAAAGTTGTCTCCAATTTTGGGTTGGTAAAGCTGTTAGGATTTTGTGAGCATCTGCATGCTCACAAGATATGTTCTTAATGTTTGGATCTCGTGATAGTTGTTTTACGATATTCTGAACATTGTAGTTTTACAGAATATTAGGAGCTTAAAAAATATTGAATTAGTTTGTTGCTGCAAATTAAAAAATGTGCGTCAAAGCTAAGTGGATTTCTAGGCTTCAAATGTGATTACTTTTTCATATTGTGCAAGTCTTGCATCTTCTGTAACAAGTAGTTATTAATTAATAAGAAAAGTGGAACTAAATTAAAACATTGACATGGTATACACTGCATTAGAGTTATTTTCGTGATGCCTGTTTGATAGTTTAAAGATGAAGCTGGCAGATAGCAAAATGTTCCTGTAGCATATTATCCAGCTGTTGTGATGACTGTGGAGTATCTGAGACTATTTATTTTGAATAATACCTTCAGTTAATTCAAGTATAGTAAAGTATGATTTAGAGTCTGAATTGACTACTTTGTGTTATGAGAAGTGATAGAAATTTTTATTTTCTTAAAAAAAAAAAAAGAGGCTGGTGCATTACATTAATTCATAAAATTTTAATGTTGCAATCAGTTGGAGAATTGATCATCATTTGAAACATTTCTTACAACAATTCTCTAAAAACATAGAATATTATTCTACTAGGTTTGAACAAATCTCATCTACCTTCTCACTCCCTCCTCCATTTCAGTTGCAAAATTGAAGTTGCGTGACATGTTAATGACAAATCAGATCAGCACCCAGTTAAAATGGTCTGAAGGAGAGAGCGTCAGGACAGTGTAAGTTGAATGTTGTTAGATACGAGCAAAGAGGAAGCCTGAGAAAGAAGAGTGAACGTAGTCAGAGGAATAGAGACCATTAGATTCTGAATTGGGCAGTTGGAGCCATACTTGATCGTTCTCCATGAGATCGATGACAGCACTGCCAGAAGCCTGGTCAAGGTATCCTTTCTTATATTCATCATAGGTGTACATGAGTGGGGAACCATTTTTGTAGAGTGCAACCCAAACATTTGTTCCTTTTGCATGTACATGGTAGGAGAAATAGTACAGTCCAGGGATCCTGCAGGTGAAGATTCCTGTTCTGGGGTCATAGTGTTGTTGCCTATTGTACAAGATTTTATCAAATTTGATGGGTACTGTTGCTCCAGGGTAGGCTTTTGAGAGGATGACACTGAAAGCAGACACTGGCATCCCTGTAAGAGCTTGGTTTACTCCTCCTTTTATGAAGGACATTCCCGATAGCTCCCGAGACTCTCCTGCTTTAACATATCTTTCAGGCATCTGTGGGACTACAGCTTGGCCGGGGGGACCAGGAGGACCTGGGGGGCCTGGCAAACCAGGCTCTCCAGTGTTGCCTTTAGGCCCAGGGGGTCCGGGCGGTCCCATGGGTCCGCTTAAGCCTTTAGTAGAAATACCTGCTGGGCCTGGGAGTCCTGGTGCTCCTGGCTCACCTTTCGCACCGGGGGCTCCTGGTAGGCCAGGGGGGCCAATGGGGCCTCTGATCCCAGGTATTCCCGAAGGCCCTCGGGGGCCTGGCTCGCCATTGATCCCTGGCACTCCCTTAACTCCTTGTGGACCTACTGGACCGGGCAGGCCAGGTAGCCCAGCATGGCCAGTGTCGCCTTTTGGACCTGGGAAACCTGGGTGTCCCTTAGGACCAGCAAGACCCTGCTCACCTGGGTATCCTGGCTTCCCTTCTAATCCTGGTAGACCTCGTTCACCCTTGGCCCCTGGGAGTCCCGGGAGGCCTGCAGGACCCGTGTCGCCTTTGGGCCCAGGTAGGCCATTCTCACCAGGCAAGCCTTTGAGTCCTTGAGGGCCCATGTTCCCTGGTGGCCCAGCAGGCCCTGGTTCTCCTGGCACACCAGCTGGGCCTTGGTCTCCTTTAGGTCCTGGAAGGCCAGGAGGACCTTCAGGCCCCCTGTGTCCCTTCATCCCTGGCAATCCTGGCTTTCCAAATCCTGGAAGACCTGGGGATCCAGGCAAACCTGCAGGTCCAGGGTGTCCCTTTGCTCCGGGGATGCCTGCTGCTCCTGGTGGTCCCATTGGCCCAGGCTTGCCAATGCCTGCTTCTCCGGGCTCTCCTGGGGGACCCTGGGGACCTGGGATACCAGCTGCTCCAGGTGTACCTGGTAAACCTCTGTCACCTTTCATCCCTGGCTGACCTGGAAGACCATTTTCGCCAGGCTTCCCTACCCCAGCAGGACCAGGGAGGCCCCGGGGTCCCTGTGGGCCTGGAAGACCTCTGCTACCTGGGCGGCCTGG